TTGCAATATCCTTCCCCTGCCATGCCCACAAAGCCATGCCCATCACACCACACCCACCAAGCCACGCCGACAGAACCCGGAATAAAAATATTTGAATTTCACCATTGGCCCTTCCCCTTTCCAGGCAGGTTTGCTCCACTGGTGAATAGCTCATACCACTAAGGAGATTTTCCCAATATCCAATCCAAAATGATTTATTTACAGTTCAAATCCCTTCCTTTTTTAATTAATTTTTTTATTTTTTATTTTCAAAACAAACACAACACATACAATCTTCCTTTTTTTCATACTGTAGAAAGTGTNAATGTCATATCCAGAGGTAGCATTCAGCAGGTTCTGACCAGTTCGGGAGAACCAGTAGCAGAAATTTTGCACAGCCATTTTTGCAAAGGGGGCGGGGTTTCGGGAGGCAAAAAATGCTGTATTCAGTGTATAAGACACACCCAGATTTTCACTCTTTTTTTTTTTTTTTTTGGGGGAAAAAGGGGCCTTTTATGGTCCTAAACATACAGTAGTTCGGAAAACTGATAAATACCATCTCTGACTGGCCCTGCCCCCATCTATTCTATGCCTCCCAAGTCCCAGCTGATCGGGAGGAAATGGGGATTTTGCAGTAACCTTCCCCTGGAGTGGGGAGGGAATGGAGATTTTGCAGTAACCTTCCCCTGGAGTGGGGAGGGAATGGAGATTTTACAGTACTTCCCCTGCCAGAAAGTTGTTGGAGGTTGGCTGTGTATGTGGTTTGTTTGATGAGTTGACAATATAATTTTTAGGAGTTTCAACCCAGTTTATTTTTTGTAGATCTGTACACTGGTTATTTTATTTCTATCCACCTCCAAGAGTTCCTTAGGTGGATCAGTAGCTATATAAATTTGCTAAACAAACAAAACATTTTAGAGATTTGTGAGAGTTCCAGGAAAAATAAAGGTAAAATAAAATAAGTTCCATTGTCCTGTGAAAGGCCATGGCTATACATCACACTCAAGCAAGATTATTGTAGTCTGATTCACGCATCACACCAAACCACAAACCATTCTTTACGAGTAATGATAAAGATAGCATTCTACTGGTTCAGACCGGTTTGCCTGAACCGGAAATTGTGGGTGCACCCCCCCCTACCCATCCCAGTTCTACGGCATTCCATTTAGGCTGTTTTTCACCAAAAGTGCATGTACGGAAGGCTGTGCACATGTACAGAGGGGGGGTGTGCACTCACATTTGCAAACTTGCAGTGAAGGTAAGTGAATATCTCCCCTGTATATGATACTATATATGAAGTTTGCCATTGTTTACGTTTGATATGAAATGATAAATAGGGAAGACTGTGCCTGTCGTATAGAATAAGCAAGTATGGAATATACAACAATTTAAGTGCATTTTTTAAAATAGTGGGATAAAATATTTAAATAAATAAAGATGGAATATGATAGACATGTGATCACTGTCCTGATATAATTCTGACTAGCTTTTATCCATGAGAGTTTACCTTGTGGGAATAAACTTTTAGTAAGATGTTCTTTAGTGTTTAAATATAGGTTTTGTCATCATTACAGTACTGTTTGGTCCATGGTGCTCTCTGAGCCTAGTTGTTTTCTGCAAGACCAAGGACTGCACAGTTCCATCCTGAGCTACAAATATTCTCTTCCATCAATTACACTACTATATCATGGAGTTTCTATGGGCAATATTGAAGTGAGAAATCAAATCTACCTGCCTATATCTGAGTCTTAACAGCTTCCCTATACAAATTGGATTAGATTTTAAGAGCTAGTGTCTTATTATTAATGAGCTTCCCTGCACCTTCTGATTTATAGCATCTTTACTATAAAATCTGTATCTAGAAGGCAGTGAGGTATGATTGTCTGATCTCCATATTATAATTTCAAGACTACACAAGTAGTCAAGAAAGAATTGAGTGTCAAAAGGCTGTTTACAAAATGTAAATAATGATGTTTCCCTTACATGGAACTCTATGAATCATCATTCTGTTGCAGTGTTGTGCCTTTGGAGAAATAGAAGAAAATGTCTTACTTCGTTCTTTGTTATTTTAGGACGTAACTTATGAATCAATAACTTATGAATCAGAAGGGTAAAGAAAGGGGTATTTGGGAAAAATGCTGATTACTAGAAATCTAATAAATAGAAATATTATGAACTGAATTATAAATATACTTTTACTCCAAGTTGACCACCTGGAATTCCATGGATATGGCAGTTGATCTGTCGACTAGCATTCCTATACCACTTGGCATTGAAGAGGTCCCTCCAGATAAATTTATTTATCTGGTTAATAGTGTCCTTGGGACAGGATGTCTTCATATGATTTACAAAAAGTCATCAACAGCTGGGACAGCCTTACCTCTGGTGGCAAGTGACCATCTTTGAAATTGCTTGGGGGCAAATCAGGAGAATCCATTAAAAGTGTCAACAATGCCAATGTGATGGTGATCTTAATACAAACATCCCGTATTTTTGGGAGTATAAGACNACCTTAAGCTTGGTGAAATTTGAACTGCTGAACTGCAGCCAGCAGTCAGCAGAAGTAGCTTCCAGTACTGTATTCTAACCACTGAATCACCACAAAGAGGGATGAGGTTGACTAAAATCTTGATCCAGGAACTAAGAGTCGTGGTGGTGCAGTGGTTAGAATGCAGCATTGCAGCCTAATTCTGTTGACTGCCAGCAGTTTGATTCTAACCAGGCTCAAGGTTCTTTGAACTTTGAACTTTAATAAGATTTGTATGCCGCCCACTCCCTTGGGACTCTGACTCAGTCTTCCATCCTTCCAAGTTCATATTATTGCGGGCAAGATGCTGAGAGGGCTGTAAAGCACTGTGAAGCGGTATGTAAGTCTAAGTGCTGTTGCTATTGCTAAGTGAATTAGTATCCCCTGATATAATATGCATTGTACATGATTTGTCAGTCATAAAACACATTTACTATACCTTCTGTGGGATGGCCAGAGTACTACTCCAGGTCTCTTTGAATTTAGCAATTGAACAGCAGAAGCTGGATTAGAGAAGAGATGACAGAAACAGAACATTGCACTGACTAAGACTGCTGATGCCACACGACCATCCTGTCAGACAAAATGCAAAACCCTCAATCAGGAAAATTTCACCTTGCAAATAAGCCATGGTTGTTTTTTTTTTGTTTGTTTTTTTTTGTTAAACACATACAAAGCCTTATAAATAAGATCTTCTCAATGATGCTTTGAAACTAAAGCTACAACAGAAACTTAGCAGAAGCTCTTTTGAGATGCTTCCCTCTGAAAAAAAATGTTCATAGGATTATTACACTGATTAAACAGAAACAAACATTTGACTTAGGTCAATTCTAATGCATCAAAGGATGTTTTTTTTAAAAAAAGTGTAAAAAGATTTAGAAATACACAAGTGCTTCCTATGCAAAGGAAAGACCATTAGACACTGACAGTGAAACTTCCTTCTGATGTGGTGTGATGGAAACATACAACAATGAGTTAAAAACTAGAATGGGATTGTGTGAGATACAGTTATTTTTATATTTGGCACTGTGGCTCAGCTGGAGATAGACTACAACAAAGCAAGTCCATCAAATAGAAGATGAAGAACAAATAGGGTAGAATATTTCTCTCATTTCCTCTACTGTAATCCAGAGGTGCAGCGGAAGAAAACAGCATCCTACCAATGGTTCCCAGCTATGCCAGAAGTGAGTCATCATTGATTAAAGTGTACTTAGAGCGTGTCCGTCACAACAAACCAGAAGCATTCAAATTACACAGAGTAAGTATCCAATACTCCAATAATCAGTTTGATAGAGAAAAGCTCCCAGCTGTGGGATGTAGTCAGAGTAATCTAATATCACTATTAAGGAGATAATTCTGTAACATTCCTTTCCATGAATCTTTGATCTTCAGAGCAATCTGATAAACAATTTCATGGCCTTCAAATGTGAAGGATTACAACGTTCTTGAATTCCATGCTTCATGGTCAACTGTGAGAAATTATAAGATTGGTAGTTAAAAATTACATTTGGAGGGCATCAGAATGGATATAGCTGCTGTAGAATTTAGTAAGTATATAATTTGCATGAAAGCCATATGCAGAAAAGGATGAATATGTGGTTTCTCCCCAATAAAGAAAGCAGCAACTCAAAGAGATTTAAAGAGCTGTCCCTTACATACTGAGGCAATGCATGCTNTATTGACGCAATAAAGAAATAAAAATTTTGTCTAGAGAGCCAATTTGCTCTAGTGATTAAGGCATCTGGCTAGAAACCCAGAGTTCAAACCCCACCTTAGGCATGAAAGCCAACTGAGTGACTTTGGGCTAGTCTACTCTCTCTCAGCCTAACACATCTCCCCGTGTTGTGGTTGTGAGGAAAATAGGAGGGGGAAGAAGTGTTGGAGATGTTTGCTGTCTTGAGGTATTTATTAAAAAGTGGGAAATAAATCAGTAAATCATTAATTTGTTTGCTAATGGTTAAATTCAGACTAGTGGCACATCTACACATTCCCCTCTCCCTAAATTTAGGATCAAGGTATCTCAATAACTATTCTCTAAGTCTGTTAACTAGGAATCATAGGATTTTTCTGACTGATCCAGAGCTGAATTAAAGCCAGCAGATGCAATAAGCACAGCCCAACAACAGTGTCCATTGGCCTCTCCATTGCTTAACTGAGAACACACCCAATAAGTGATTAAAAACTAAAGTTGAGTTTGACAGTGACAGGGTTAAGGGCATGATAGCTGGGGTGGGGGGGATATACTATTATGCCATAAGCACATTCTTATTTTACTTAATGGTTGGACTGGTTGTGGAAGCAGTATTTTTCATTTTACTCTTGACACAACCCTTGCTATATGCATGATGTGTGTTCTTTCTCCAGCAACCATGGTAATGAATGAATCTGCCCACTTCCTATTTGCTGACATCAAGTACTGGTATTAACATAATATTTTAGCACCATTAACTAAGCAAGTTTATTCCTTCAGCTACCAAAGAGATTTCAGTAAGAAACATCACAACTTTTCAAAATTGCTTTTTCATATCCAACCATTTTAACTAGGGTGAAACTACTCATTACTCTAACAGTTTTTCTGAGTAATATGCTTAAATCCAATTTTTATACCATACTATTAAAATATTTTAGATCAGCCTGAATGTTCAACCTTGCACTTAAAAGATATATCAATTCATACTTTAGCTTGAAGTCGTCCCCCAATGGTGGATCGCATATGGTAGACAGCAACAACTACATCACCATGGACAGTGACTCCTAGTGGAATAACAACTTTTCCTTCTTGAACACGGAATTCCCTAAGGAAAAAAGCAAGCAGAACATTCTGCCTAAAGTGGTATTCATGAGACTCATAACAGAATTCACATTGAACAAAGCGTCATAACCAGCAGTTGAACCTTGCACTTCAGTATTGTTAAGTTGGGTGGAGTCAAAAAGCTCAGTGCTGGGATTAAAATAAAAATATTGTTCATATTTATTCCAACTTCTAAATGTAATGATCTGGCTATTCTTAAAAACTGTTTAATTCATAGATTATACAGACAACAATTCCTATAGTAAATACTATACAACTCATATGACTTTCACTGTATCTGCATGTAAGCTGTTTATGATCAAACATTATTGTGTACTGAAATAGTATTAGCAGATGTGTGACAATCAAGCTGCTCAGAAGCAAAAGCAAAACTTCAGAGGAAGACACAAAATATCATACGGAATCCATGTACATTAGATGCATAAAAGGGTTGGCTAATTGATGTCAGTCTAAAGGGAGGAGTGTATGGATGGTTGGATGTAGGATATCCTTCAAAGCAGTTCAGGCAACTGAGATTTCCATCTCCCTGAAGGAAGCAGTAGCTGCTGAGATCCAATCAACATCAATCATAATTGACTGAAAGCCAGGGTGCCTAGGTATGTGGAATTAGCTCACCTGTGCTACCATAGATAGGTACATATTAAACAACCAAAGTGGGATTTTATCTGCGCAGTCAACAGAGAGGAGCTTACTTCATTCTTTCGTATTCCAGTGATGTTGTAAATATTCTAGTTTCTCCAATAAGTATGTCGCAGAAAGGCCGACAGCCATTTCTCTGCTTGTTGAAACAGGGCACTGGGCTAAGAAGGACTGATTTGATGGTTATAGGCTTGCAGTGAGGCTGGACAGGTTTGTCTGTTATTAGATCACAAATATATCCTAAATACCTGCAATGAAAAATGGGATTCATAAAATTCTACATGTCTAAAATTCTACTGACTATGTGCTTTGGCTCTACAGGGAACTTGGTTGATTATCATAATGAAGATTTTCAACAGCAGTCAAGAAATTTTAATTTTTAATGCATGCTTGCAAATATTAATGTCAAAAGAGCAAATCCAGTGAAAAATCATGAATTAATCAAGGAAGAAAACAAATAAAAATATAGATTTGATACATTTGACTTAAAAACTACAGAAGCAAGCTCTCCCTGCCTCTAAGAGAATTAGTACTTAATATACAAAAGTGGCAAAATAAATTCATTTTCATTTTGCTGCTGCTTTTCTGGAAACCGTCCTTTCTAATTATTCCTATTTTCAGCTATCCATCAACAAGCTGGGTGGCAAGTGGCCCAGAAGAGTACAGGTCCCAAAATAAATTGCATGTAGCCCATGTTCAGCCTTGACATAGAATGTAATCAATTTTCCCAATGGTATTGTTCCCACTCCATGTGTGTTGTAGCCTAACTTCTATCAGGGGTGGGCTGCTACAGGTTTGCCTGGGTTTGGGAGAACCCATAGCTAATGTCATGCCCAGTTTGGAGAACCTCCAAATCCCACCCCTGACTGGCCCCGCACCCCCTCCCCTCCCCTCTCAGGAATCTCCACGTGGCCCATTTTGGATGCGAGGTAAGTGCAGGGCCCATGCAGAGGCTTGAGGAGGGGGGGAATGGGCCTCCTAGAAGTTTCAGAAGGCCAGAAACATTCCCAGCCTCCGGAGGGCCTCTGAAGCCTGGGGAAGACAGTTTTTGCATTCCCAGAGGATCGAGGAAAGCCTCCGGAGCCTGGGGAGGGTGAAAACAACCCCCCACCATGGTGCAGGAGGGCGGGAGACCATGAGTTCTACTCTTGCATTAGGCACAACACAAAATGATGACCTGGCATTAGTCACTCTCTATCTCAACCCTGGGAAAAGACAGTGACAAAAAATCTTGACATGAAAACTACAGAGATTTGTTTAGGTAGTCATTAGGAGTCAACATTCAAAGGAACAAAAATAAAGGTAGCTGTTGGTGTTAAAGAGCAATAGCAATAGGACTTAGACTTACATACCACTTTACAGTGCTTTACAGGACTCCCTAAGCAGTTTACAAAGTCAGCATATTGCCCGCAACAATCTGGGTCCTCATTTTATCCAGCTCGGAAGAATGGAAGGCTGAGTCAACCTTAAGCTTGGTGAAATTTGAACTGCTGAACTGCAGCCAGCAGTCAGCAGAAGTAGCTTCCAGTACTGTATTCTAACCACTGAATCACCACAAAGAGGGATGAGGTTGACTAAAATCTTGATCCAGGAACTAAGAGTCGTGGTGGTGCAGTGGTTAGAATGCAGCATTGCAGCCTAATTCTGTTGACTGCCAGCAGTTTGATTCTAACCAGGCTCAAGGTTCTTTGAACTTTGAACTTTAATAAGATTTGTATGCCGCCCACTCCCTTGGGACTCTGACTCAGTCTTCCATCCTTCCAAGTTCATATTATTGCGGGCAAGATGCTGAGAGGGCTGTAAA